GAAAGCGGAAAGTGCTTAAGAAAAATTTATGGCTAACTATATAAAGAATAACCAGGAAAACAGAAACATAGTTTGATACAGATAAAAATTAGTGTAAATGAAGAGAATATTTCTGGGAAATGACTCACAAGTTTCTTAATTTGAGAAGCCATTATGCTGAACTCCAATTGGAGTTCAGTGATACGAGCTTCAAGACGTGCATTCTCCTCGCGTAATGGAATTTCTCGAAGGCGCTAAGGATAAAAGCAAGAATAACACGATAATCAAATGACGAAGAATTCCGGTCATTACTTAAAATGATTGAGCTAGTCATATAAGTAAAACGCTGTAACTTGAATTATGTAATTGATAAATAGCTCGAGCAAATGAGTTAAAAACTAGGGAACAATGACACAGGAATGTCTTAAAAACCATTCATGGTGCGGAAATCCATCATGCTGCAAGCAGAATGACTAGAATTAACATCGACAGCAATAAATAGAAGAGAGTCAAATCATAAGCAGAGCCATAAAATTTCCAAATTGCAGGTAGTGCTTAAAATTGAAATGACATTAATGAAATAATAGCTTAGATTCTCGAGACCACTAGCTACCAAAGAAAAGACTCATTATGAATTTATAACTGTACATTTCAATCTAAAATGAATCTGACCAGATAAACATGAAAGCTGTCTAATATAAAAGGAATATTAAATTTTGGGATCAGCTTTAACTGGAATACTTAAAATATAAGTGGCCTAATTAATCTGTGATGTTCAACTAACACTTAAGTGAATTTATTGCTCACCTGCTGAGCAGCAAGGAACTCAAGTTTAGAGACAGAAATTCGGAGGTTGTCACGCTCGATAACCAGATTTTTTATAGCATCTCTCTGGTCGGCCAGATCGCCTTGGGCATCATTTAGCTGAGAAATAAGCTCCTCAACACGTCGGCCACCTGTATCAATTAATAAAGTAGCGCGTCGGTACTTACCTAAAATGATTAAGGGAAAACTAAGTGTGTGAAAACAAGAATAACGGGACATAGTAAATGTAACCTTCAATTACTGCCTTATTGACAGCTTGTACAAAGGCTAAAATTCAAAAAAAAATGGATAGGAAGCTTAAATCAACGATTTGACTAATAGCAAAATATAGACTATTGGTAAATCTTTAAGTAAACATTTCAGACTCAGGGCGGTTGTGTCGTGTATATGATTAAGGCATGAATTAAATTGAGTTTTGGAAGTATAAATAAATACGGAGAAAAGTTGGATCTCAAAAATTATCTTGTTTCATAATTGTTGAGCTTACTCCCATTTTGAATGAAATGTTGGGTAAAGAGATTCGAAGGTCGGTTCCACCAAAAGACGACGGCGGATTCCTCTTGACCAGCTGTCGATTGGCTTTACTGGAAGATTCATGCTGACGCTGTTTAGAAGACGGCGGATTCCTCTTGACCAGCTGTCGATTGGCTTTACTGGAAGATTCATGCTGACGCTGTTTCCGAGCAACGGCGAATTTCTCTTGACCAGCTGTCGATTGGCTTTACTGGAAGATTCATGCTGACGCTGTTTCCGAGGAATCTGAGTCCTCTTGACCAGCTGTCGATTGGCTTTACTGGAACATTCATGCTGACGCTGTTTCCGAGGCAATCTCCTGCTTGACCAGCTGTCGATTGGCTTTACTGGAACATTCATGCTGACGCTGTTTCCGAGGCAATCTCCTTCGATTCAGGTGAAAAGTTGCTAAGCTTTCGTCCGTCATATGACGAATATCATAAGCTCAATCTTAAGGCTTCGCAATCTATCCATGAGCAGCACACTCTTCACTTTTAATGATAAAGTTTATGAACAGGTTCAAGGCCTAACAATGGGATCTTGCTTGGCTCCTAGTTTAGCGAATAATTGCATGTCAAAAATAGAGGAACACTTCATCGAAGAGGTAAGATTGACACCCAAACTGTCAGCTAGATGCATGGATGGCTACTTCGCCACATAGCAGCATGGCAAGGATATATGAAGACCAAGATGTTGTGGCCTCTGTTATGGTCGCAGTCTACTTTCGATTTATAGAGGTTGGTTGACCTCGTTGTCGCAACTTGGTCTTGTGGTCAGGGAGACTATGTAGAACGCACTTAGTCCGAAGTCGTCTGCCATAGTAGTTGTC